CATGTGGATGAGTCATGGCCATTGCTTGACCAATTTACTCTCTGTGAAACCCTAAAAGAATATTTTCTCTCCATGTGACTCTCCTTAGGCACACTCTACATAATCACTTTCCTCTGTGGCCCCATAATATCCTTGATCAAAAAATTTGGGACATTGCTGAATTACAGGATGTTACCGTACAGGTTTTCTTATGTCCTGAGTCCTCACTGACCTTGAAGAGCTAGGGTCAAATGTTGGCTGTCTTTGCAGCCCGTCTTTTTCATTAATTTTTGGTCTGCAAACTTAAATTGTTAACCCTCCAGAAGAGAAGCTTAATGATATTATTACCCTATAACATAGGCTGTTGAGCTTAACTTCACTATCTCTCTGAATATTAAACATCTTAGACATAGCATAGAATAGGTATTGTCCATCAAGTATTAATATGTTAAACTTTAAATCCCTACAGAATGTAAAGAAAAAATAATAAAAAATAAAAAATTAAAAATAAGAATAAGCAATTACATATTTTTACACAGAAATTTAGAAATCTAACCATATACAGCATTGTAGCAGGACAGTCTTATGACATTTTTTCCTTGTTTCTTATTTCCATTTATTGCCCTTTTTTTTAAACAAACATTTACTTGAGAGACAGTATAATGGTAATTGATGTGACATGACAAGTAGTACGTATTTAAAAGACCAGAATGGCAGGCAATCCAAGCATGACCCTAGTATTAAACATTGCTATTCAATGTAATTGCTTAGTTCACAGGTATCAGTATATATAATTAGTCAGGGTGAGAATCCTACCAATTAACTGCTAGTTTCAAAAACCTGCTGATGTTTCTCAGGATCACTGCCTTTAACCATCTTATGCTTATAAATGTATGGTTTTGCCCCTGTCATGTTTCCTAGCTTTTCTCCTTGCCCTCTCTTCATTGTTTAATCCTTAAGTTCAGTGAGAAATAATTTGGCATAATGACAGTCTGTTTCTGACAAGTTAAATCCACCCTCCCTGAAAGCAAGTGCATATCTCCCAGTTCATGTTGGCCAGCCCCAAATAGCTGAAATTGCAACACTGAACTAATATGCCCATGTCAATTTTATTAAAATAAAGAAACATTGCCACCAACCTCCCTCACTTAGATGCTACCCCTCACTTAGAACACATTTATCCCACCATCGTTGCCACTTTCTGAAGCAGCTCTAAAGTTCTCTTTTGTCGGTGTCTTTGTGAGGGGTAGCCAAAAGCAGAGGGAAGGGATCTGCCAAGTGCCACCCAGTGGAAAAGCAGTGTTACACGAGTCATCGCAGCATGTCCTCATCTACCTTGTGCCCTGGATCTGGCACTGTGGAACTCCTGTCTCATCCCCAAAACCAAAATCACCATGCAAAGTAAATATTTTGAATAAATTCAGGAAATTGAGGCAGGTACGACAGCACAACTAAGATGCTCATGAAAAGAGGGCTTTCAGAGCTGCTTCAGAAAGTGGTAAGAAGGATGGGATATGGATGTTTAAAGTGATAGAAACTATTTTGAGGGGGTTGTTGGCAATGTGTCATTTTCTATAATTGTTTAAAATTTAAACATTCACTTGATTTCCTTATTGCACCCCATACCTTTGTCAAGTTCTATGAAAATGTTTGTAAGCATTTTAATTGGGGCTGCATTCAGTCCATAAATCAATGTAGAAAGAATTGACATCTCTAATTCCTTCCATCTTTCCATTTATTTATATGTATTTAATATCCTATATTTTTATGTTTTCTGTGTACATGCCTTATAGATTTTGCATTGGATATATTCTTAGGCATTGATAGTTCATCTTTTTCTCACAATGCATTTTTGAAAGGTGATATAATTTTATAATTTCCCTCTCCAAAATGCACCTGTGTTATGGGTGTGTAGGTGACATTTGACCATTGCATGCATCTGTGTACCCACCACCACAGTCAAGATTGTTGTCACTGTGTATTATTTTTACTTTTTAAAAAAAAACTTACATAAATGGAACCATAAAATACCCATTCTGGGGCATCTAGTTTCCTGCACTCAGCACAACATGCTTGCCATTCGTGTGTATATTTGCATGTATTAAGGATTTTTTTCTCTTTATTGCCTAGTAGTAGCTTTTTCTTTAAAGCTTTGACACTCTTCACATGTTGTTGGTGCTCTCTTTCCTCCACCCTCCACTCACACCCACAGGGCTTTCAGCCAATCCCTCACTTTCTACCTTTCACTTTCAGTGTATTTTTTTACCAGAGCTAAATCATTTTATTCCACCCTGAATCACTTCCTGGCAGCTCCCTTCAAATTTAAAGCAGGAAGCCCATGAACTCACTGGACCATGCTCCCTGCCCATGGGGCATTTTGGCTGGCTCAGGTTTGGGAACTAACTTCCCGGCTTCTTGTTGGGGGCTTCCAAACCTCCTGCACAGAGCTGTTGTGGCAGTGGTTGCCCTAAATGAATGGCTCAGCTGGTCCTTCAGGGACTTTCTGTGTCTTTCAGGACAACCCTGAGAAGACAGCTGCATCTGAACGAGGAGACTTTTATATCACAGGGGACCGAGGCCGCATGGACGCGGATGGTTATTTCTGGTTCATGGGAAGAAACGACGATGTGATCAACTCTTCCAGGTCAAGCTGTCTGCCTTTTCCTCTGCCCTCTGTGCTTTTATGGGGGAAGAAAGGCCGCCTGGAAGTTTGTTCTTCTCTTCCAGCTACCGCATTGGCCCTGTTGAAGTGGAGAGTGCGCTTGCGGAACATCCTGCTGTCCTTGAGTGTGCTGTGGCCAGCAGCCCAGACCCCATCCGGGGCGAGGTGAGGAGAGCAGCTAAGAACGTGGCCTTCTGCTTCTGGAACTATCAGCACCCAGTGAAGCAACCAGGAAGGGCCAGGTTCCCCCCTAAATCTCACCCTATCCAGTACCACTAGATTCCACCATGAGCCACATTTCCTTTTTAGTGAGCTTCTTCACTTCTTCCAACTTTCTAGAGGGTCATAAGGGGAAAATATTCCCTTTTATCTTGAGGGATTCCTGAACTAGGCTCAAAGAGGCTGTTGGACAGGAGCGCTTGGTGGCAGATGTAGGTTCTGTCATCCACTCAGTCCAGTAAAAAGTGCTTTTCTGTCTGCAGGTGAGGATCTAGGGAGCACATTGGACATGGATCCCGAGGGCTCTGACTCGGAAGGAACAGCCAACTAGAGAGATGCCAAATACATATCCAAAATGGCCTTGATATACCAGGAACATGAGCCAAATGTAATAACCTGAGCTTTATAGAGAAATACATATTCCTTTTTATGGGTTCCAGAGAAATGGATAGAATGGGAAAAGTTGGCTAATAGGCAGACCTATAGATTTTTACAGACTATAAATCCAGCACAATCTTAAAGTACAATGTAAATATCTCATGAAAGTTAGTGCACTATCATTTTGCACCCTTGAAAACCTCAGAAAGGCCAGCCTGAGAGCTCAGTGGACTAAAGTGCTTGAGTAGGTAGGACGCAGCAGCCGGGGTTCGATCCCTGGTATGTCATGCCAGCCTCACCCACGGGGTGCACTGAGACTGCAATTGAACCTGGGTGTGGCGGTGCACACCTGTAATCCCAGCACTTGGGAGGCTGAAAACAGGAGGATCATTACGAGTCCTATCTACATAATGAGACCCTATAGACTCTATAGACCCTGTCTTAAATACAGAGAAAAAAAAAAAAAAGAAGAAAGCCTTAGAGTCAGAGAAGGGATCCTCAGAGTCTTGTCCCTGTGCTTTTCACAACTGCATTACACAGATAGACTTCAAGTTAAACTGTAGATTTCAAGTTAGACTTGCTGAGTCAGACCGATATGGATGCAGCCCAAGTCATCTGCGTTTGAGCCAGCAGCCCCTTGCCAAATGACTCCCCACTAAAATTTGAGTCCAGGAATATAGGATGGGGGAGATGTGAATCCTAGCTCTGCTGAAGAAATGACCTTGAAAAGTGTACCTTGCCCAGCATGCTGTAAATTCCCTGAAGCCAAAACAGATGGCTGTGTCCTCAAAGTCAGTGCCTGTATAGTGCTGAGAATAGAGCCTGGCACACAGCAAGTGCTCAGTAAATGTTTAGTATTTTTTATAGTAAGATAAAGCACTTGCTAGAAGCCAGATCTGCCTGAGTTTGAAATGACAATGAGCTTCCCTCCTCTGGGAAGTACGTATGGATCATGAACTGCCCCTCAAGGTGTTGACAGAGCTCAAGGCTCACGTAGACCTGCAACCCAGCAGCCATTTGAGCTTTCTCATTCCTGTGAGAGACTCTGCTCACTTATGGCGGGGCATAGCACTCTTACTCCCTGTGGGCAAGCGGCAGCCTGTAGGAAAAGTCTGGGCAGAGAAAGCCGAGGTAGAGGTGTCTTCAGGACACTGAACTGAAGTAGTACAGCTCAGTATTTGTTGGCTGCAAACATCCTGCCCCCCCACACACACTCTCCACACATAGGTGCCCTTAGAAGTTCTTACGTTTTCCCCAGATCTGTCCTAAACCTATTCCTTGCTATTCTCCTAGTCAGGAAGAGTTGGAAGTAAATAGTCACAGAAGTTTATAAAGCTCCTTTCTCCAAAGCATTTGCATCCTAAGAGAGGGCATCGTGGCTCAGGCCTGTAATCCCAGCACTCTAGCGGCTGAGGCAGGAGGAATGCCGAGAGTTCAAGACCAGCCTGGGCTAGAGTGAGCTCAAAGACAGCTGGAACTGCATAGCGAGATCTTATCTCAAAAAGACAGAGAGAGAGAGAGAGAGAGAGAGAGAGAGAGAGAGAGAGAGAGAGAGAGAATGTTGCCTTCTAATGCTTGACAAATACATAGGACTCAAAACTCAGGAACGCACTCCACCTAACCCTGAAAAGCAAATAACAGAAAAACTCATGCTGTCCATTTTGCCAGTGGTGCCCACAGCCTAGGCAGAGCCTTCCGGATGGGCTGGGAAATGTGAGCACATGGTTATGAGGCTTAAACAGAGGAGTCACCATGAAAGGCTTGATCTTGCTGGGGTCTTTGCAGGTTGTGAAGGCATTCATAGTCCTCTCTCCAGCCTACTCCTCCCATGACCCGGAGGCCCTGACCCAGGAACTCCAGGAGCACGTGAAGAGGGTGACTGCTCCATACAAGTACCCTAGGAAGGTATATACCCTGAGTCCTAGGTCACAACAAGCTGGGAAACCAGGTGGCCACATGCTACTTGGGGTCACACAAGGCCACCCTCTGTGCCACATACTGGGAAGTCACAGGCAGAGAAATGTACACTTCCAGTTCCACTATAGCTTTTTCTGTGTTTTCTTTCTCCTCCCCTCTCCTCTCCTCTCCTCTCCTCCGCCTCCCCTCCCTTCCCCCTCTGTCTCTGTCTATCTGTCTCTGTCTCTCTCTCTCTCTCTCTGTCTCTCTCTCTCTCTCTCTCTCTCTCTCTCTCTCTCTCTCTCTCTCTCT